CCATCGAACTGATTCCCTTATATCCCCCAACGACAAAGTTTGACAGAACAATCCGAGGGGCATATGCTAAGTGGAAGAACCATGTTTCGATGCAAATTCAGCAAGTTAAGCAGACAATCTGCCCACATTTACATCTAGAATGGTGTGTCAGAAATCCAAGAAAGCCAAAGGTCAGAGATGAGCTGATGGCAATGGATCCGAAGGAGGCTGATCTCACAGAATGTGGGCTACCTGAGGATTCAGTGTACAGACTATGGTTTATGCCAGACTCAAGTGAGAAGGTAAGTCATATAAATATATTATGGAAGTGTGGCTCAGTTATAACTTGTACATGAATATTACATGTATCTTTGTGAAATATATTTGTTTTGTAAATAAATGAGTACTCTGAGTATCTGATCACTGTTTTTTTTTATTCAACAGGAGGATAGTGTTACTCCACCTGCCACAACATTACCAAGTGTTACTGGAGGTAAATTATCATAGAACTCTACACACCCATGAAATATAAATGTTAAAAAGCATTATTTAGTTATTGGTGTTGTTTAAAAATTCTTTGATACCTTGATTTTGTTACAGTTGGATTTTCCACTGCGCAATTTCATTGGTTTGTTGTTTTGCTTCCAGTTTGAAGTCTTTTTATGAACAGACACGTTGTGTTTGTACATGTAGCCCTAACCTAGCTGCTCTGTTTCTGCCAATGCCCATGTTGAGGTTGATGTCATGCACTTTAACTCAGAGTGGAAAACCAAGTAGACTTTTGTCTTTAAAACTGGAGAACTGATGAATTTTAGTAAAGGCTCAGTTCTAAAACTGACTTGATCATATCATTCTTCCAAAACTTTGGGATTTGATAGACAGATCATCAATGATGTGCATGGGAATTCAGATTTACAATATACTTAGGTGTTAGGAATGCCCCAAATGTATTCTATTTTTTTTTTTTTCACATCATAACTTTTGATATTTGGCCCAGACAATAGCAGTGAGGAAGTTGACATATTTATTTATTGAACCTGTAGGTTTTGTTCAGATAAATTACAGTTAAACAATGATCAGGAGAAAGACATTTCTATTAATTTTACATTTTCTTTCAATACATTGCTATAGGAGACAGAGATGGCGGTATGTCTCAAGAAGAAAGAAAGTCAGAGTCACCTGCACCATCCCAGACCAGGTACTCTACCTCACAAGACAGTGAGGAGATAGGGACAGATGCTGTCAAAGACACGTACCTGAGGAGATTCTCCATCACTCCAGAAGGTGGACAAGTTCATCTGAAGGAAGTTGGAGTATTCTTGTTAGTGCCTCCAGGAGCTCTGGCTGAAACTACAGAAATGTTCATTGGTATAAGTTGGAGAGAAGAAGACATGCCACCGCTGCCACCATGTCAGACTAGAGCAAGTCCAGTTGTTGTCTGTGGACCACATGGCCTCAGGTTCAGAACACCAGTGTACCTGTCATTTTATCACTGCATATCAGGCACACGTCAAAGAAAGATGGGAAAGATCTGTCCTGAAAATGTAACTCAGAATTCAAGAATGGACAATCCATTTTACATATGGCAGTCAGAAACTCACTTAAATGCCCCTTGTCGGTGGAAAGTATTGAGCAGTGATTCTGCTGTGTTGACAAACACCAAATGTGTCTTAATTGTGAACCAGTTCTGCAAACACAGTTTGTCATGTGACAGTAAGCGCCTTTCTGCCTTGGTGTTTGGGTCATTTCAGCCTCAACATGTCCCCTTGCTGAAACTGATGGTGTGCTGTGTCAATGATACCCGAGATGAGGTAGAGGTGAGAATTAATTTATAAGTGGTTTTCTTTTTTGATTGTTATGACTATTCCTGACATATTGGCATAATATTGGTGCTGTGGATGATTGCAAATAACTGTGTTAAGTTGTAATTGGTCACTGCATTAAGTGCCTTTGTTAATTTTAATTCTTTCGAATAATGATGTGCATTATTGTACCACCAGCGTTAGCGCTGGCGGTACACATGGTTTCGGTCCCGTCCGGATCGTTCCGCCGGCTCCGCCGGCTCCGTTGGCTCCGCCGGCTCCGCCGGATGGCTACCGTTACCGCTTATCCTCCTAGACGGTAAGGGCCCCCGTACCCATCTCATGGATTTAGGTCACCTATAATCTCAACTCATTCCACGTAAAATTTGGGCTTTGTCGGTATTGGGGTCTGGGTGTGGCACTCCTTGCAATGCACCCTTGTCTAAAAATGGCAAAATTAAATGCTAATTATCTACCCTACGGAAGGAGTTATGGGAAAAATTTCTATAGACGGCTTTCCAAAAGTCACATGTGTAGATTTCAAATATACCCTTGGATTTGACCTTTGACCTCTACTTCAAGGTCAAATGGGCCAAAATTTTCAAAAAAATGAAATTTTTTACGAAAAAAAAATTTTTTGCCCTGTTATTCAGACACCACACAGACTTAACCAATAATATTATTGGGAAGTGTTACCCTTCAGGTCATCTTTCATCTCCATGAATTTGGGGTCAATCGGTGCATTTTCACGGGAGTAGCGGCCATAAGATACCGAAACTGAAAACTGTCTCTAATTCGGGAACCGTTAATGCTAGAGACCCATTCTTTTTTGCATTTTGTAGAGCATGTAAAGCCCAACATTGGAGGTGGTCTCCGTTTTTTTGTATTCCATACGGTTTTCGAGTTACGCTGTATCAAAAAGTACATATTGGTGGTAAAAGCAAAATGTGCAGTACGGTAATGGATAATAAATTTTGAACTCTGGAAAAATAAAACATAAGGCTTGGCAAAGCAGACAACTTGTGTTCAAAAATGACATTATTTCATCAAATTTGAACTTCTGAAACTTCAGAGCACCTCCTATTTCAAGAATTTTGACCAAAATGACATTTTCTTTATTTTAATTAATTTTTTCTGTACGAAATTTAAGGCACATTATGGTAACTCCAAAATTATAACATTTAGTCCCTTATATCTCCAAAACTGGCAGAGATAGGTCCATAGTTACTATTGAAGTTGAATAGGAAGTCATATACTGGCAATCTTACTGTGACCTTGAAATTGACCTTTGACCTACTTTTCACCATGAACTGAACTTTGCAAATTTTGCTTCCCTTTTATCTCCAAAACTGGCAGAGATAGGTCCATAGTTACTATTGAACTTGAATAGGAAGTCATATACTGGCAATCTAAATGTGACCTTAAAATTGACCTTTGACCTACTTTTCACCATGAACTGAACTTTGCAAATTTTGCTTCCCTTTTATCTCCAAAACTGGCAGAGATAGGTCCATAGTTACTATTGAACTTGAATAGGAAGTCATATACTGGCAATCTAAATGTGACCTTAAAATTGACCTTTGACCTACTTTTCACCATGAACTGAACTTTGCAAATTTTGCTTCCCTTTTATCTCCAAAACTGGCAGAGATAGGTCCATAGTTACTATTGAACTTGAATAGAAAGTCATATACTGGCAATCTAAATGTGACCTTGAAATTGACTTTTGACCTACTTTTTATCATGAACTGAACTCTGCTAATTTCTTTCTCTTTTAACTTCAAACTTGAACTTTAACTTCAAACTTCAAACTTCAAACAGAGATAGGTCCATAAATACTCTTGAACTTGAATAGGAAGTCATATACTGGCAATTTACTGTGACCTTGAAATTGACCCTTAACCTACCTTATGAAGAACTTAAATTTGATTGTACCATATATGTTTTTTGCAATAGTTTAAAAATTCTTGTTGATTGCATTTTTACAGCTTGTCAAGCACAAAACTGGTGGCTGTGTCCCTTATTTTGTGTATGTGGGGGTCTATACGAATGCGCTTGCTCCAGCTGGTGGTACAATATTCGGAGGCAGTATCGCCTCTCTGATCCTCTAGTTTTACATTTTCTTTTAAAATAAAATATAAAATATATATCAAACTCAAAGATTAAAAGTTTGAATAGCAGCTTCATTGGAATTATATTTACCTTTGCCAAGGAGGTTATGTTTTCACCCCTATTTGTCTGTCATCAACATAACTCAAAAATTTATGGACTGATTTTGATGAAATTTTCAGGAACTGTCAGAAGTGGGTCAAGGAGGACAAAGATTAGTTTTTGGTGGTTGTTCGGATCAATAATCAATCAATAATCAATAATAATCAAAAATTGCTGCCTTGGCAGAAGTCTGCGCTCTTGGAGTGCTTTTCTAGTTTTGTTATGTTTTCCTTTTTATGTACAGACACAGATGTGTCTGTACATATAGCCATCATCTGCGTCTGTCGTCGCCGTCGTCGCCGTGCACTTTTACCGATAACACAATAAGTGGAAAACTGTTTTTTATTTCAGCTTGAAACTTACAGAATTGATGAATATATATAATATGCAGATCAAGTTCGAAAATCAGCATGATCGGGTCACTTGTAGGGAAGTTATGCTGTTTTTTCACTTTTTTCAGCATATATGCAGCACCGATAACACGATAAGTGGAAAACCATTTTACCTTTTGGTTTGAAACTTACTTACAATACTGATGAATATTCATAATACGCAGGTCAAGTTCGAAAATCAGCATGATTGGGCCATTTTTTGGGAAGTTATGCTGTTTTTTCACTTTTTTCAGCATATATGCAGCACCGATAACATGATAAGTGGAAAACCATTTCACCTTTTGGCTTGAAACTTACAGAACTGATGGATATTCATAATACGCAGGTCAAGTTCGAAAATCGGCATGATCGGGCCATTTTTAGGGAAGTTATGCTTTTTTTTTTCACTTTTTTCAGCATGTATGCAGCACCGATAACATGATAAGTGGAAAACCATTTCACCTTTTGGCTTGAAACTTACAGAACTGATGAATATTAATAATACGCAGGTCAAGTTCGAAAACTGGCATGATTGGACTATTTATAAATTTAAAGTTATGCTGTTTTTTCCATTATTAAGCATATATGCAACACTAATAATGCATTTAAAGAAAATCAATCAGCCTTTTGTCTTGAAGCTCACAAGAGTGATTAGTCTGACTAGTATACAGATCAAGTTTGAAAATAAGCTTGATCAGTCAAGCTTGGATGAAGTTATTAGCTTTTTTGTATGTAAGTGGTTTTTCTTCATATTTAATTCTTAAGCATGTTAACAGTCTCTTTATGGAACTAATTAGATATGTAAAAGTGTTGTTTTAACATTTTCTGCTTCTTAACAAAATTGTTAGTTAATTATATAAAAATGACGGTACACCTTTTATTGTGCATTGTGTAATAAAGTGTCAAAAATGGAAAGGAATATCATTGCAGTTTGTCATATTCAATCATTCACTAAGTTAAGAATCTCAGAATGGAGCAAGTTGGACATTTTAGATTTGTTCTATTGATATTCCTTTGACAACATATTTTTTGATTGATCATATAAAAATGACAGTAAATCAATTATTTTGTTTTATGTAAAAAAGGTGTTGAAAATGGAAATAAACTCTTTTCAATACAGTTTTCTCTTGTTTAGATTTTGGGATTTTCAAAGTGTGAGTCTGAACTCTATGGGCTAGACACATTTTCAGAATATCCATGATAGTTTTATTTTATCATTAAAAAACTGATGGTTATTATGCTGTTAAGGATTGTGTAATATTGCATCAAAATTGAACAAAACCCTATTCTGGGCACTGCCTCCGTAGTGACCATGAAAGGAAAACCATGTCACTTGCTCTTTTCACACTTAAAGGAAAGAAATGTAGGACTGAAATACAGCCTCAGTTGGAAAATCTGTCTCAATAGTTAATTTTCTGTAAGTAATAGTTTTTTTTTTTTTTCTGTGAAAATTTTTATCTTTCACATACTGGAATTTTCAATGTGGGACTTAGAGCTCCCTTGGGCATGAAGCCCAGTGGTAATCAAATTTTCTTAATGTACATGTTTTTAATAGTAGATATTTAAAAATTGATGGTATTTATACAGTCATTATGTAATGTTGCATCAAAATTGACAAAAAACCTACTTTGTGCACTGCCACCATTAACATTATGGAAAAAAAACTGTTACTTTCTATGTTTTCAAATACTCTTACAAGAAAGATTCTTAGGATTGACGTACAGCTCATATTAGAAAACCAGCTCTATTACATTATCATTTTTATTAAATTTATGCATTTTTTGTGAAATTTTCATTTTTCTCATTCTGGCACTTTGTAAGTATAAACTTGAACTCTAATGGGCCTGAAGCCTTTTGCTTTTACTTTCGTTGGTGTTACCTGTTGTGCATAATTAAAATTTGATGTTGACTGTGCAGTTAAACATAATGTATTATTGCATCAGAATTGTTAGTCTCCTATTTTGTGCATTATTGTTTTGTCCTTTTTTTTAAGGTGTGACATATGGGCCTGAAGACCTTTGAGAGGGTCAGTCTGTAAATTTCCCTTGGGTATCACTAGGCTAATTCCAGTCATTTGCCAAATTAATAGGCCATTAAATGAGATTACATAAAGCACACTTGTTGATATTTCCCTGTAAACTCCCAAAGGTTAAGCTCTCTGCTAGATTAATTATAACGAAGCAGTGATAATCATGCAGGTAAATTTTGTTTAATATTGCAATTAAGTTTTTAATATATATATATATATATATATATATATAAGATCAATAATCTATCAATAATAATAATAAATTGCTGCCTTGGCAGAGGTCTGCGCTCTCAGAGTGCTTTTCTAGTTTTGTTATGTTTTCCTTATTAATTTTTCTCAAACACTGTCATTTGTGCATTTTAACTCCCATCTGCCTGAGGCTTTGCACGTTTTCTGTATTTCCA